CTTTGTTTAAAATAAAAAAAAAAGTTGGGTTAGGACTTACCTGATTCTTTGGTGCATATGGTATCGCCACCACGTCGGCTTCATCCGCGACACCAGCGTATTCACACAGGGCCACCGAGGCCTATGAGGGGAGGACGTCCATGGGGACCACCTCCTGGGCATGGACAGCCCGATTATCGGTATCCTGAGCGTTACTACGGTCGTCCTCCGCCACCATCTGATAATGACTCATACAGTTCCGTAGAATCTGATCCTTCAGAGAAGTCATCCGAGGAGCAATTTCCAGAGTATACAGCAGAGAACTCTCCTCATTCGACACCAGAGTTAGGACTAAGAGATATTGGTGATCCCGAACCTGAYGGGTCACGACARGCRGGATGGTTATCTATCGAGTCATCGGAGTCGACTGAGTCATGGCCTATAGAGGTTTATAGGCGACATGATACTAGCTATMGGGGACCTAGTAGGTCGGGGTACGATGGATCTTTATCCTCGGGAAGCCCATCAGTTACTTACCATGGACATGTCGAGGTGCCGGAAGAACCAGTGCCTGGTAATTAGCACGACATCTTAATCCTTGAATCGATGGTGCCAAAAATAAACACAGCACTAGCTTAAACCAGTCCAAGTCAATGAAAGATACACATGAGAGCTTTACTAACCGGTGTGACAAAGTGTCTGAATAGAAGTGTTTTAAAAATTTATGTTGTTTTATAAGATTGTATATTCTGTATATATATGTAATTTTTCTGTTTAAAATTTCAACGTTCTCAATTCTTGGCCAAACAAATTTTTTATTTTTATCAATTTACACGATAAGAAACTTATCTTTTTGCCTCACATGGATTCGAATACTAGATCCAAAAGGTTGAATCCTATTTTCTCAATGTAAAATTGCCAGAAATTACAATAGCTTGGATTTACCAAAAAGAAATCAAACAAACACAATTCACAAATCGTTTATTCTCTCCTTTTTTATGTAAGCTTTTTTCTTTCTTTTGTTCTCTATGTAAATTGTTGGTATCTCTTGATAACAAAACCAAAACAAACGTCAAACCAGTGGCAGACCCACATAGAGAGAAGCTATGTCAGCTGACCCACCTTAAATAATATAAAGTAAAATGTTTGGGCTATGTATATGAATATTTAGCAGCATAATTGCTTAAAATGTAATCGTTCGACCTCCCAAATCCGTGTTCAAATCCCTTTTCTATACACTTATTTTTAGTTTTAATCTCTTTTTATCTAGACCTCAAACCTAATAACATAACTAAAAAAAAATTGAACCATGTAAATTTTTTCTTTGGACCGCCACTGCGTCAAACAAAGTAAATGTTCTTCGCCATCATCAATAAGACCTCTATTTTCTCTGCTACTTTTGTTTCTCAGTTTCCTTTGAGAAGTCCCAACAGCTTCGAGATTGGCCCCAGCCGCTGAAGCATCAAGCAAACTCGCTGCAATTGCTGTCTTCAAGTCATCATCTTCCATCTCTAAAAAAGTTCGCACTTCCTCACGCGACAATGCCTGATTTGGTCTTTGTTGGTCGACATTGTCATTAGTTCTATTGTTGTTGACAGAAGAACTTTGTATCGAGGTCGTGTACTTTATAATTCTCTCTGCATCTTTAGGACAAAGCCACTGTCTGAAACTGTTGGAAGAAGATGATATGGGAAGTTTCCTTTCAATATGAAGATCCTCGATCCTCTAACCCGAGCCTTTGAGAGAGTCGAAAAATGCTAAAAGGTAGAATTTCAATAGGTGTTGCGGGGCAGCGAGGAGGCTGTCAAAGTTATACCATTCGCCGTTCACTTTCCTTATGCAAAACCAATGGTCATTCAAGTGGCAGATAAAGGCGTTTTCAAGCTCAGGTTCCATCTGCACAAGCTCTGCATGGGGACAATTGAGAGGAATCACTTGTAAAGCCCACACTTCCAAAACCTTTTGCATACATGTCAATCAAATAGAAGCTTAAGATTATACAAAGACTACATATTTCCAACTAACTTTGGAAAACTTATATACTAAACAGATCACATAAACTCGTACAAATTGCTTTTACTTTACATATTTAGAAATGAGATGTAAATCACCATTCAGTGCAATAACTGATTTTGCTTTTCCTATACTCTTAAATCTTAATACATGAAAACTTGCAAGCAAACCTGACTTGTGTTGCAACCAGAGTCGGCCTGAACTTTACTGGGCCCTAAGCATAAATTTTTTTTGGCCCATTATCTATTCATTAAATATTTTTTTTTGGCCCATCATTTATTCATTTAAAACGAAAACAGAAAAACCATCTCCAAGAATCGAACCTCTCACCTGCACACTTAATGGAAGGACGCCAACCAGTTGAGCTACAGACAACTTCTAAACAATATATGGCCCCTAAATTTAAGAAACTCTCCTCTGGTCCTAAGCACATGATTCACTAGCTTGTAGTCAGGGTCGGCTCTGGTCGCAATAGACTTACAAAGCAAATAGTATTAAAGCTTATCCAAGAAACCAAGTTGAAAACTCTCACACAAGACAATCAAGATCAAACCTAAGTGAATGATTCAAGAATCACACCCCACTGATACTTTTAAAAATCTCCAAACCCATGAGTCCCTAGATAAGAGAATCCCTCTAAAGTTTC